GCAGGAAGGCACACGTCTATAATGGGAGCCTAGGGGGACAAGAGGGAATTTTGGAAATGAAATGAAGCTGGTGCTTTGTCTGCCAGTTTCCCTGTTTAAATTAAAAGGCTGCGAGTTTTTGAAAATACAAACTTGCATTATTATATTCACATCCTGCCTTTATTTTTGTTGTGACTCCGACCCCCGAGGCCGACTTATCGGAGGGAGAAGGCTCCGAACATGAAGGAGAGGAGTTGGCCAGGCCTCCCTCTCCAGGACCCTCCTCTCTGGCAATGCCTCAGGTATCTCCCGAAGGAGAAGAGATTGGCCAGGAGCCAAGTATCTCCTCGCAGTCGGATAGTGACGGAGATAAGTCTTGGCTGGATCCATGCCAGCGTCGGAGAGACAGGCGCACGCAGCAGAAAAGGAGGTGTGCCAGAGATTAAGCTGAGTCACTGGACCACACCCCACATGGGATAAAAGGGGGTGAGGTGGCCATTCAGACTCTGTGACGGACAAAACAAACTACTAGCGAGTCACATTGTATCTTTGAAACAACGTTATCTGCCTTGGATTTAATACGGACTGGACTTGACAATTCTTGAACTGTGTGTATCTTGTTTGGGTTTATCTGTCGGAGGAACAAGCCCTCCCTCTGAGTAAAGTTCTTGGCAAGCAGCTACTGGGTTGCTGCCAATCCTCTTATCGAAAGAATTTGTTGTCTGCCAGTTTTATTTAACCCCTGACTGTGTGCGTGTGTGAGACAGGGGCAGAACAATTTTGTACATACAGTCCAAGGTGGCATACATTATTTTTCTGCCCCCCCATTTTCTGCCCCCCATAACCCTTGGAGGTGGGTTAGCTGATTGAGAGTGACTAACCCAAAGTCATGTAACCAGCTTTTATGATTAATTGGAGGCTAGAACTCACAATCTCAGTTTCTAAACCCACAGCTTAACTACCACACCAAACTGGGTCTCAGATGAGACTAGAAACTTGGCGGGTTCCAAGTGAGATGCTTATGTTAGAACTTCCAACCAACCAATGAAAAACTTCTTTCAATAAGCAGATGAGGCAGCTTTCTGCAACTTCACTTGACTGAATAGATTATACTATCTTTTCACCCTTTACTGTTCATTTTCTTTGTTGTGGCCCACCAGCTGCCGGCAGAGCTGCAGCAGACTTGGACGATGAGGAGGTTGGGGAGGAACCTGGGCCAGTCCTGGAGTCTGGGGAAGGCTCTGATGGATGCTCTGCATTGGAAGCAGAGATAGAGCCAGGGCCATCCGACATTTCCCAGCTGCCTTTGTAGTCGGAGATAAGTGGGGAAGAAGAACAGCTGGAGCCTGTTCCAGATGCACGTATATGCAGATCTGTCAGAAGAGGAGAACAACTGAGGAACAAGAGCAGACTCAGGAAGAAAGGCACACATGGATGCTGAATGGCCGCTCCCTGGCTGGGGAATATAGAGAAGCAAAAGAGGAGTGGTGGTTGCAGGAGACAACAGTTCGTATTTCTTTCGGAAGGTTTGCTTATCGTGGTTCGTGCCTCATAGACTGATTGCCAGGAATTAATTTAGAGCTTTGTGACTGGAAGCTTTTGGCCTGGCAATTATCCAAGGACTGATAAGGTTATATAGCGATTAACCCTTGGAAGGATTATTGCCTGGACTGTTCTGTGTGTGAATGCCATGAATTCACAGTAGCTAAATAAAGAAGGGTTTTTCGGAACAAGGAGTCTTTTTCTTGGTTCTGCCAGAACACTTTTGCCTGTCTATTCAGAAAGAACAAACAACCAGCTGGATGACCTGCTTATTATTTTGGACTTGATTCTGATCTCCCCAGATTGGATATATTTTTTTAAAGCAATTCTCTTGTCCTGAGCCTTTAAATCTCTCTTTTTTTTTTTGCTATTCTATTCCTTTTCAGAGAATCTCCCCCTTTCTGCTAATCTCTTTGGGGTTTCCCCCCTCCCAAACAGTCCTTTTTTTAGCCAGAGAATGACACTTTAGACTAAAAGCAACAAAATAGGGGAAAAGAGCATTGCTGAATCAAAACTAGCAACAAGACTTTAGTTCTCTCAACCTTTGCTATGCTTTTTTCTCACCACTTACGATGTACCTCTACTTAACTAATACATCTTATATTTACATTTTTTCCGCCATAGCTTTCCTTCAAGATCCCAGTGTCATAGATGAAATACTATAAGTTCAACCTCAGTAGAGGGCAGCACCTGGCTGATTGTGATAGATGTTATAAACCATACAGGATTATCTCTGGTTAATATTTGGATGGAGGACCAACTAGAACTTAGAGGCTGTAGGCCAGAGTGGGAATTTGGGGGAGAAAAAAAAATCTGGAGGGTTTTGGAATTGGAACAGCAAGCCAATCCCCTAACTTTGCCAATAAAATTATAGTCACCAGGAATCCAGCTCCACTGAAAATATCTCTTTGTTATATTGGAGACAACTAGCCATCCCCATAGCTATATATGAAGAGGATGCCCAGTAATATATAAGTACTACTTCACTGTTCTGGACTGTAGGTAACCCTCCTTTTGTGGTCATCCTGTGTAGCATTAATAGAAGAAGAAAAAAAACCCATCAGCATAGAATCTGGTTGAGATTCTTGTTGAGGAGAATCCAAACCTGTTTTAATAATGTCAAGCTTACTTTTTAGCTTGCTATCAACTGCTAACTAAAACATGGAAGTTGAAAACACTAAAAAAGAAGGGTGTAAATACACTCTAATTCCTAGTGACACTAAGCTTGGCCAATAGCATCATCACCTGTCAAGCTAAACTAGCTCGAAATGTCTGGGATGTAGCTTTCCCTTCCATACCAAGAATAATCACTTATCACTTTAGGTTGTCAAAAAATTTGCAATGACCTTTATGTGGGCAATGAACTGCAACACGTAACCTATCATATCCTGAATTGCCAGTCCTCCCGCACCTTCACAACTGCAGGAAGTATACTAGTAAAATTAGAAGCACCAGAACTAGCTGCACAAATCCGCAAACCCATGACACAGCACAAAGAGATGCAAAAGTCGATACTGTAACTGTGGCCTATTGCCTACTGGTAATTGGGATGTTTGCAACATGGACTGGGCAACTTTAAGCAAAATAACAGGTACCCAAGTTCTTTGCTGATCTCTTTGAATGATATACATGTATATAACTCTTGCTTCCGACAATTGTGACAAAATAGACAAGGGGAAGAAATAATCAACACTGGACACTACTCTGACCAATGAGATCCTGCAGATGGCTGCCCGCCATTTTGCATGTATTGTATAAAATTGCAGGGACTTGTCCAGGCAGTCTCTTGAGAATCAGACACGACTGAACAAGGAAAAAGTTGATGTGCAATGTACTCCCTTGAGCACAACAAGGAACAAATTACTGGCTTTGAGGTATATATAGTCTCAGCTGATTTTTCTTACCTAAAATTGTTTGCAGCTGAACTGACTAGCCCCAGAATCCTTGGGTGTGCAGTAAATAGTGTGAATTACCAACTTGTATGCCTCTAAGAAAGCGAAGGATTGAAGGCTGGAGCCAGGCATCGTATGCACTACTAGACTGAAAAGAACACATTCAAACTCAGATTTACCCAGAATTTTATTGTACGCCCGTTATCATTAGGTAAAGTTATTTTGCATGCTTCAGTTTCCCCCTGACAGCTTCAGATTCATAACGGTGCTTTTATGGTGGTGCTGCTGAATTATCTTTTCCCTGCTGCCTTGATCCTGCTGTTATCTTTACTGAATAAGGCTCCCGCTGCAGAAAGGAGAAATATGGTGTAGAGAGGGGAATCCTGGAGCTGCTTCTTCAACCGTTTCTTTTCCCTCCACCGAGCTAAGCAGGTGCTTCCCCCCCCCCAACGGTGCCTATTGCATCACCGGGAGCCCCAGTTACCAGGCGTCGATGGTTCCGTTTCTTTGACCGCCGCCGGGACAACCGGCGGTTCTCCGCCTAAATAGCACTAGGGGCTAAGCGCGTCCAGCCAGGAGGAAATCGTTTTCCCTCAGGGCATAACGGGTCGCGACCCCATTGCTTCCGAAAGGATCGCCTCCTCCAGAGGAGGACTTGGCTGCTTCTCCTTAGCCCGAAAGAGCCAAGGGGGGGGGAGGGGGAATCCCGAATCCCGCACCCATTCCTCAAATCGGGAACGAATCCCGGTCCAAAGCACGAGGCGAGAGAGGACGATGGCTCCCAATTGCTGGCCAGGATATCTTTCTTTAGGCCCGCTTTGGACAGGAGGGCGGGGTTTCTCTCTCTCTTCTTGTCAGATCTTGGATTAGTCTGTGAGGGACGGAGAACCGCGGGGGGGGGGGCGAAAGGGGGGAGGCGCGCAACTCTTCTTCGAATCGCGCTCCCTTGGACAGGGCTCCGGCCCGTTCTTCCTTCCTTCCGCCGGCTTCTTTCGCCTTCCTCAAGCCGGCGTTTGGGCGCCTTCAGGCTTCCCCGGATCTTCCTTGCCTCCTCTCAGCAAAAAAAAAATAAAAAATAAAAAATAAAAAATCCGCCTTTGAAGCGCGGCTGTCCTGGTTTGCTTCGTGTTTGAAGAGGGCTGCGTGACCCTCTTCTCCCGCCTCACGCCCCCACTCCGTACGTGGGACGGGAAAAGCCGTCCCGAGGCGCGACATCAAAGCGCATCAAAGTCCCTCCACGAGTGAACTTGGCAAGCGGCGGCGAGCGCTTCAAGCGGCGGGACCCGTCCCCCTTTCATTTTAAAAGGCCGACCCGCTCACGCTGGGGTGGGGTGGGGGGTAGGGTAGGGTCGGCCTTCTCTTCCACCCCCCCACTCTTGCCCCATTGGCTCTTCACGGCCCCATCTGGGCTGGAGGCAGCGGGGACTCTAGGAACTGTGGCGGATTCCAGCGGTGCTTCTCCTCGCCCTTGTCCTCCCGCGGCCGAAGGGGCGGAGCCGCGGGGCTCAAAGGCGGCCGCCGATTGGCGGGCGGCGCAGCTCCGAGGTGGAGCTCCGGCTTGAAGTTGGAGTGAGGGATCCAGCTGTGAGGTGCGCTGAGCTTTCCGCTCGGGTCTCCCGGCCGACCGAGGTGGCGGCGAGGAGGCGGCAGCATAGCGTCGGTTCTGCAGCTTCGGTTCCGCTGGCTTCGTCTTTTCTCTCTACCCCACCCCGCCTCCGGTAATTCCCTTGGCCGGGAGGAGCCCAACCCCCGGGGGAGCCGCCGAGAACCTCGTTTTCTCCGCTTCCTCTCCCCAGACCCTGGCAGGACGCTGAAGAATGAGGCTGAAGCCAGGAGGCAACGGAGCCTTGTCGAAACCCTGTCGGACTTGAAAAGGGCAGCGCTTACCCCCCTTACCCCGCTCTCCCCGCCGCCCCCAACCCAAAAGCGAGGACCTTCTCCTTGCTGGCGCTGCAGCTGATCGAGACCGTCAAATTTCTGATTGCTTTGCTCATCGGGGCACCCAGACGACCGCACTACTGCCTCCTCCTCCTCCTCGGATTCGCCCTTCCCGGCTGGTTCGGGATCTGGGAGGAAAAAAAAAAAAAGACGGCAAAGTGACGAGAAGCACCCAGCCGGCTCCGCCTGGATCCCAATGGGGCGAGAGGACCCGAGGCAGCTGCCCGGCTGGAAGCGGACGACGCCCGCGAGGTTTTGAAGCTCGTTTCTTTTTCCCCGGTACCCCTGCTCCGCCCATGGCCAGCGGGGTTTGACGCCTGACAGCGCTCCCGCTTCCCTCAGCATCTTTCCTTCTGCCACTTGCTCGGAGCGGGGTCTGCTGGCCGGAGGATGGACGAGGATGTTCCGAGAGGAGCCGAGGAGCAGGATCCCGAGGAGGACCCCCAGTCCAAAACCTTCGTCCGCCTTAACGATCTCTCCGGAGATGGAGGTCGCTCGGGTTCCGGGGACAAAGAGAAAGATCCAGGCAGTGGGGACTCGGACGGGGAAGCGCTCCCTTATCCCGCCCTGGCCCCGACCGTCTTCTTCTACCTGAGCCAGCACAGTCGCCCGAGGAGCTGGTGCCTGAAGATGGTGTGCAACCCATATCCTTTTCCCAAGCAAAGCAGCCGGCCTGACAGGGGTGCGGGCTGGTGCTGCCAAGGGGCACCTTCTCCCGAGATATATGGTACCGCTAAGGTAAGTCAGCGAAGTTCTTCCTGGACCCGCCCGCCCTCGAAACTGGGCCTCCGCGGAAGGGGTGGTTCGCACCAGCAACCCCCCCTCCAAGGTTCTCCTGATGGGTGCATCTCTCTCTGTGTTATTAGGGGATTCACGCGAGAAAAATACCGGGACAACCCAGGTAGGTTTTGTGCTGGTCCCCGGGACTCCATCCCGGGAAGGTTGGGCAGCCTGGGGCCCGCAAGGCGCCCTTCTTGCAATGGCCAAACTTTGAGAAAAGCCCTGTTTTCTGGCAGACTTGTGTGTGTGTGTGTGAGCGCTCTTATTTGCTTGCACACGCCTGTGTGTGTTGCATCAGTGGCAACATCTCCGCCGCTGTGTCTCTCCCGGACGCCTGTCTCCAATTCGTTCCTTGGAAGTTCTTCCAAAAAATCTGTGGAAGGGGTTTCTCAATGTTTCCTGCTCTAACTAGGCAGGGATTTCTCTCTAGGGTTGAAGTCATAACATAAAATTCCAGAAAAAAATACTAGAAAATGGAAACAATATGTAACTCTTTTCTCTCGGTGTGTGGAAAGAAGAAATGCGGGAAGAAAACAAGAGCAGGTCTCTGGTGCGCTCTCCCTCCGAGGCGGATTTGCTGGATTCCCTCTGGCATCGCCTCCTCTTTCTCCCTCCCCCCCTCCTTTTTTTTCTTTCCTTTCTCAGCCTCTGGTCGAGGTGGAGAAGAGAGAAAAGGTGAACAATCCTGCAATGATTCAGTCACTGCACCGGATTCATCTCTTCAACAAGATGGGTTTAATGATGGTGGGAGTCGTGCCAGTTCTAAAAAGTTCCTCCCCTTCCTTTACAAATGATTTTGTTTGGCTGTGTGGATTCTGGTTCAGATAATGTTACAGTTCTCCAAAGCAGCCCCGATTAAGCCCAGCTCAGGAAAGCCTTTGACATAGAAAAGAGCAATGCATCAATTTATTTATACCTGCACATTATTGCCCCCATCCACTCTCTGCCCGGGTCTGAAATGTATTAAAGTTAGTGTTCTCCAGACATTTTTTCCCCTTTTTTAAACTTAAGCTGTAGCTAGAGGTAGGCAAACCATACACAAAATCTTTCCATCTTTCTTTCTCCCAACAATGCAGCCTGAGTGGAGCTAAAAAGTAGGAGAGAAAAGGAGGGGGGACCTGGAATACATAAAGGAGTTTACAGAAAGGTCTCTTCCACTGCAGCGTCAAGGGGGAATGCTCTTCTGTTTCAAAATGTAATTACAGCATTTGCATGACAAAAAAGAAAGTCTTTCTGGCAAATATGTACACAAAGCTGTTCCTAGCAGTGGCTCTTTTCACAGGCATGCTATATATTATAAGATATGATTACAATTTAAGAACACAAGAGACATGGAAGCTCTGAAAGGCGGAAAGCTGTTTGAAATGTAGTGTTACATCTGTTATTACAAGAGAGGAGGAGGAGGAGGAAACCAATTAGATGGGAAGAAAGACATTTTCCTATTATAGCTTGATTTTCTTCCTACATAAATTCAACTGAGATTAACAGGAAAGCTATACTAGAGTTCCCATTTATTTGGTAGGAGTTTGGCTTGAGCGTGTCCATAGTTCGTGTAGTTCAAATACATAATAATAAATTAGTAGAATTAATATTAATTCACAAAAAAATAAGAGGCTGGTGGTACTATACTGTAGCTTTCTCAGTCTGTTGTGGCCTAAGAACCAGCAGGGTCTGTCTGTCTTCCTAGGGTTTCCTCTCTCCTTTTTCTTTTCTTTTCTTTTTATTTATAAACAGTCTAGTCATATGAATACCATAGAGAAAATAATCCTACAGGACAACTCCGCCATTTTGCCCAGCAAGAGAAATTCAGATACACCAAAATCCAGCCACAATTTAAAATTTAAAATCTTTTTGAAATATTTTAATGAGTATGATTTATTTGAAAGACTCTTGAAGGCTTTAGTTGTAAGACAGCTGATGGTAGTCTGGTTCCTCGCTTAGAAACTCTTAAGAGAGGCAGTTGAATTCAGGTTTATTGCACATTAACAGCTAATCCATATTGTGCCACACACCAGATGTATCAAAGAGAGTTAAGTAAGTTTGGACATGGGATAAATTTATGATGTACGTAGACAAGGCGGACAATGGTAAGTCCACTCCCCAATTATGAATTTAACACTGGAAGACTAGAAAATAGACAGTAGCACTCTTTTGATTTTCAGGTGATTTAACTAATTAATCACAGAGGTAAATAAGAACCATTCTATTAAATAGGATATCTGATGTGAACCTTTATTTGAGCCAAATGTGCTGGTGTTTTCTCAAATGTATGGAACATCATATTTAAACAAGAGAGATTAACTTTGATCATGTGCAGAAACCTGATTCTTCAGGATTGATCAATCACAACAAGGGAAATACAATTAAGATGAAATTAATCTTCAGATCAATGGTTATAATCGGAAGTTGAGTTTCATATCTTTTCTTTAGGAACTTCATTACTTTGATCAGGTTGGGAAGAATCTTTGTTCCAGATGTGTTTTATTTGTTGTACTGTATGCAAATACTTTACGGGACAGTAGGAGCATATAAAGTATTCCATACTGTGCATACTCCCATATTGGTAGCAGAAAATGAAATTATGGATCACAAAACTTTGTTAGTCCGTCTCCCATTGCATGAATTGTTCAAATCCAATCGATCTGGAGGTGGACCTACAGGAAGATATTATTTTTTAAAAAAATTAAAACAAGTCTTTGTGCAAGTTCCAGTATGGCCATTCCAAACATCAAGTTTACATGTTTTATCTGGGTTCTGCATTTTGTGTTTTAACTGGGGTCAGTTTTCTGTGGAGGAAAAGTGAGACGTGTTTTATGAAGCATGTCTGCCTATAACAATTTTACTCTGATCCAAAATAAATCCTAACTTGAGGAAAAATCCCAAAATTCTCTTGCAATTTGGGCTTCTTAATAACAGGCAGCTGCTCTAGTCTTCACTCTTGTACAGAATTTCTGAATTTACAGAATTTCTGAAGTAGCAGCTCTAGGCGCACATCTATAAAGCAGTATTGAGGTGAATCTATCCAAAGTATATTTTTTTCCACCAATGCTCTTTACGTTTTCAATGAACAGTATATGGTATCTAGGACAGGTCAACTGAACGTGACATTTTAAACAGAAAACCCAGGAGCAGCTTTCTCTCATCCTAGTTCTAAAACTATAGTAATAGCAAGCAAAGAAGTTAACAACTTGCTGACTTTTAACGCTGCCCCAAATCAATTTGCCTGAGGTCACAACCTCACTCCACCAAGTTGTAAGACCACCCCTTTAATAAAGAGTGAGCAAGCCTGGCTGATTTCATTTGAATGTGATGTGTGATGATGAGTCAAGGACTGAGGGCTCATGTCCTTGAGATATTGGGGGGCAGATTTTGGGGAGGGTTATGTTTTTTTGTTTGTAACCCCAAACCCCAATGCTAAAACAATTCCCAAATATACTTTTGTAGCTTTGGAAAGTTCTAATATATTGTTTTTAAAAACATATATTTTGGGTTAACCTCATCAACAGTCTCACTGTCTCGGAAATTGATCCAAACAACTCTTCTCAGAAGTTCATAGGCAAAGAAATATACTTTTCAGCATTCATCTCTTGTTGATCATAATCAGCTTTACAGCTTGGGGTGGCGGCAGTTTTATTACTGGGCACTGTAATTAGTCTATGCTCTCAGAGAAGTCTTTTGTCATTTTTTTAAAAAAACACCATATTTGAATCCCTACATTTTCATATGCTTTCATTGAACAAAAAAATCTTTATGTATCCCATTAATATTCCTGGATTTATTTATTTTTTCACTTTTTCACTTTGTTAATATTTTTATCTTTCTTCATTTTTTTCGGCCTGTAAGTTGAACAGTTGTTATGATCCTAAAAACAAAATTATTATTATTTAATTCTTTATGATTCATGTATATGCTACATCCTTTATGTTCCATTTTTCAACAAAAATTCAGCAACACAGTTTGTTTCCAGGGTGTTGCTAAATGGATGTTAAATAGATGATTGAAATGTTTGGTCGTGAAAATTCTAATGTATGAATTAGATTAATTGAGCTGTAGAGTTATACATGCTTTGCAGTATCATCAGTGTACTTTGTTAAATGTCTCTGTAAAATAGGAATAATAACTGCCATCATGGTTTCCTATGTAATTCAGTACATCAAAGCATGAAAAATATCACATATGTGGCAAACAAAATTCTGGGATGCATCACTAGAGGGATCACCAGCAAGAAAAAGGAAGTCCTAATCCCGCTATATAGGGCTTAATCAGATCTATATGGAATATTGTATCCAATTCTGGAGATGTCACTTTTAAAAAAGATACTGATAAGATTGAGCGAGTCCAAAGATGGGCAACAAAAATAGTGCAAGGTCTGAGGGATAAAACATATCAAGAGAGATTGGAAGAACTAAATATGTACAGCCTGGAGGACAGAAGGGAAAGGGAGGACATGACTGAAATATTTAAATATATTAAGGATGTGACTAAGGTTCTAGAAGGCAGTATTTTGGCATATTAAGCCAAAATCAAGAGCATGGGGGGGCGTAATCTCAAACTGACAAGAAGGAAGTTGAAAAGTAATGTTAGAAAGTATTGTCTATGGAGATTCTCAGTCATCCAGGTCATGGTTGCCCCAAAGTTGCTTTTTCAAGGGGCAAATGGGCTTTCTTGCTCAACTGGACTTTCATCTTCAAAGAAAAACAAGAAAGTTTAACAAAAAAAGTCCAGTTGCCTCTTGAAAAATACCTTTGGCTTAGAAAGTATTATTTCACAGAAAGAGCAGGGGAAGCTTAGAACCAACTTCCAGTACAGGTGGTGGGTCAATCATCAGTAACTGAGTTTAAAAATGTTTGGGATAAACACATGTCCATCATCCGACAAAATTAAAAAAAATAAAAAATAAAAATTTAAAAATAATACATTAATGAATTGAAAAACAAACAAAAAAAAAAACTTAAAGGGCAGGCTCAATGGACAGCTAGCTCTTTCTTCTGCCATCAGTTTTCTATGTTGTAAGCCGCCATGTGAAATTTTGACATAAAGGGAAATAGAAAGCAAAGCTGATACTAAGGGAATGATGTGACCGATAAAGCCAGTCACATTAGGTAGTGTGATTATTACATCTAGAAGGATGTCTGATTTTAGTTGTCTTCCCACTTATAATCCATAAGCGTGTTTATTCAAAAGTAAGCTATGCTGGACTTACAAACAGGACTGACATCCAGGTTCACTTATTTAGGATTAGGCTGTAAACCCGGGTGACATTTGTAAATTGACTTGGTTTGCTAAATCACACAATGCTCTTTCTTCTTGAAGCCCATCACCAGATTGCTCAGGTCAGGATAATGCTTTTTTAAGTAATGTGACCCTAAAAACAAAGCAACAAGGCAAAACCAATAGCCTTTCTGTCTTCGGGGAATGCACGTTATTTAAAAAGGCTCCCACTGGGCACCTGCAGGCATTGGTTCAAAGCAAGGCAGTTACTAATCACAGGCTGGCAAGCCAGAGACAAAGTAAAGAGTAGGGGAATCACGGGGCCACTCTGAGCAGAAGATGTGGGGAAGCAGAAGTTGTTTGCAGCAACAGCAAAGAAAATTAAAAAGTATAATGCATGCTTTGCCTTGTGAAGAGCAAGGGGACTGTACTTTTTCTTCTTGGAGTATTGATCAGAGCTTGCAGAAAAGATTTAAATAAATGCCATTAAATCAGTTGGCATCCCCCTTCCTTTTGGAAGTATATGACTCCTTTTCATTTTAATTAGTGTTTGCTGCTGGGAGCTTGGATGTTTGCTTGTTTATGGCTTTCCCTGCCACCTCATTAGTTTACTTGTTTTAAAAAGTATCTTGCTGCATACCAATATTGAAAGTTCGTGTGAATGAATGAATCAAGTCCTAATTTGGATGCAGTCAGGTTAGCTTCAGTTTTCCAGACTATTTGGCAATTCTAAGAAGGGGAGGTGGGCTAGATTTCAGGTGATTTGTGATCAAAACGCCCTCCGATCCACAGTTGTTGAGAAGAGACAAAGACATCAGCATTATAGAGTCGCCTTACAGGGCGATATAAAAATTTAATAAATAAAATCATAAAACAGTAGATAGTGGAAGCCTTGGCTTATGCTGTTTTGTCCTTTAGGAATAGTTATTTAAAGCTGGGATGTCCAACCTTGGCAAGTTTAAGACTTTTGGATTTCAACTCCCAGAATTCCCAGCCAGCTGTACTGAAGCAAAAGATATTTTATAATCCTACCCAACTGTACTGTATGATCAGAGTAGTCGTGAAATTCAAATTTTTATACTACCAGTTCTGTGGGCGTGGCTTGGTGGGCATGGCAGGGAAAGGATACTGCAAAATCCCCGTTCCCTCCCCACTCCTGGAGGAAGGATATTGCAAAATCTCCATTCCCACCCCACTCTGGGGCCAGCCAGAGGTGGTATTTGCCGGTTCTCCGAACTACTCAAAATTTCTGCTACTGGTTCTCCAGAACCTGTCAGAACCTGCTGGATTTCACCTCTGGATCAGATGTGAATATAAAGCAGGGTGCGATTCCTTCAAATATCATAAAAGATATTGGGCAAAATGTTTGCAATCATGAAAGAAATCTGACCACAAATAATAATAATAATAATAATAATAATAATAATAATAATAATAATAATAATAATAATTTTATTTCTATACCGCCCTTCTCCCAAAGGACTCAGGGCGGTGTACAGCCAATTTAAAAACACAAGACACAACAATAATTAAAAATTAAAATAATTAAATAGATTTGGCCGATTTAAAACCCCAAAAATTAAAATACCCCAATTTAAAATTATTATATTGACAGCCCTGCCTGGCGGAACAACAGGGTCTTCAGTGCGCAGCGGAACACCCGGAGGTCGGAGATCTTATGTATTTCCGGGGGCAGTTCATTCCACAGGGCTGGGGCTCCCACAGAGAAGGCCCTCCCCCTGGGTGTCGCCAGCCGACATAACTTGGCTGATGGCACCCTGAGGAGACCCTCTCTGTGGGAATGGACTGGTCGGTGGGAGGCTATTGGTGGCAGAAGACGGTCTCGAAGGTACCCGGGTCCTGTGCCATGGAGCGCTTTAAAGGTGGTAACCAACACCTTGAATCGCACCCGGAAGACCACTGGGAGCCAGTGCAGCTCGCGCAGGAGGGGTGTCACGCGGGCACAACGAGGTGCGCCCATAACCATAATCTAAAGAATGTAGGTGTTCTCTTGAAAATCCCCAATCTTGCCAACTGTGGACCATTTCAGAGGATGGGCTCATTGACACAAATAGAAGATAACTATTATGCAAAGTTCAGAAGTTGAGCCCTTGTGGGATGCCATCTGCTTCCTTCCTATTTACCTTCATCGGTTCCCCCTTGCCCTTTATTAATTCAATTGATTTGCCAGCTTTTGTTTGTCAGTCAAGGACAGATTGCGGAAACACAGTCCCCCAGTTTGGCAGTCCTTCCTTACCCGTGTGGGCTTTTGTCATATGGTAATATAAATGATAAAGTTTGCCATTTTCTTGGGGCTCTGGGTGTTCTGCCAGCCCTGGTCTTGTGCCCCTGGCTTCCTTTTTGTGTCCCTGAGCAAGTCTTGGAAATAAATGACACTTGGCTGGAGCAAGTTGTGATCATCTACATAAGGACTAAAGATGGAGAAATTTTCCCAAACAGCTTCTTCGAAGTTAGGAGCTATTTATTTTTCTCCTTAAAATTCGACGGAAGATGAAGGCATCCTTCCCTCTCTCTCACTCATGTAGATACAGTTGCAGTTTTGGGTTCCAACCAGAAGAACTCTGGGGCTACATATGAGCCACATCTGGGGGAATTCGATATGATTCAGCAAATATTTGAATTGGTACTTAATTGTACCAATCCCAAATTCTGTCATCCAAATGGAGCTTTCAGAATGCAAATTAGCATAATAATTTCCCTGACGTTCCTGAAAATGTTGCATGGTATGGTGATAAATCAAAGAATATTTCCTGTGGATTGTGAATTGGATTTCCTAATATGCCAGATTCTCTGGCTGGCAGATTAAAGGCAGCCCGAATTCCTATTATCTGCAGTTTCTCCTTCAATTTAATTCGGGCTATGTAAGTTGAAAGGAGAGGCCAGATCCCATTAAACACTTGCATGTAGCCTAATCATATACATAGCTCAGAAATTGCCCCGAACTTAGGACAATTTATTGCCATCATGTTTTCTGATGTTGCATTGTATTACAGTTTAATCTAGTGTTTGCTTACACATTTACCCTTACTCCTCAAAATTCCTCCCTTCTTTGCCCTTTGATGTTAATAGTGGCATATAGCAGTGGTGGGTTTCTACCAGTTCGCCCCGGTTCAGCGGTGGGAGGCTCCACCCACCTGCCCAGATGTCATCACGGATACTCTGCACATGCGCAGAAGGTTCTGTGCATGTGCAGAAGTGCCATGCGCGAGCGAAGCAAACGCACGCACACGCTCACAGTCCCGAACCGGTAGTGAAGGTAAGTGAAAACCACTACTGGCATATAGTATTATCTTAACTTTTCCATAAAACTCATCTTCAGGAGGTCTGGAAGAAGCTGTTGTGACTCCGTTACCTGAGCCTGTGTCATCGGCAGGAGAGGACTCCGAGAGTGAAGAAGAGGAATTGGCAAGGCCTCCTTCTCCAGGACCCTCCTCTCTGGCAATGCCTTCGGTGTCCGCCAAAGGGCAAGAGATAGGGCTGGGGCCAAGCACGTCCACGCAGCCACAGATGGACAGTGATGAGGGTAATGAGTCTTGGCTGGATCCATGCCAGCATCGCAGAGATAAGTGCGCGCAACAGAAGAAAAGGCATGCCCGAGATTAGGCTGAGTCACTGGACCACACTCCACAGGATATAAAAGGGAGTGTGGTGGCCAGTCAAACCTTGTGATGAACAAAGCTGAAAGCTTCCATGCCATTCTGCATTGCCGGACTTTTGCTATAAGACTTAGCTGGATTATCTCTGGACTTGATTACCTCCGTAATTATTGAGCTGTTTCTTTGGATGTATCAGAAGTGGGGAGAAGTTATCTCTCCTCTTCGTAAATAATAAACTCTTGGCAGGCAGCCACTAGGTTGTTGCCAAGTTCCGTTATCTTAAGGAAAAGGATTTTGCCGGCTGGTTTGGTCTTTAACTCTTGAACGTCTGTTGGTGTGTGTGCGTGTGGTTGGGGACAGAACAGAAGCGTCTTATAGAGTATATTGCATAACTCGAGCAAGGAATTAGCAGCCCTCCAGATGTTCTTGTGAATAGCTCCAATCATCCCTGACTACAGACTTTATTGATTGGGGCTGACAGAAGCAGTCTGACAACATCTGGATGCCTGAAGATTCTATATCTATGGGCTACCTTATTCTTGTGTTGGCTCTTCTCTATTTTTAAAAGATCCAGAAGGTGAAATATTCTTTCTGTCACAGCTGAGAGGACATCGCTCCATTATATTTTGGCTTGGTCTGGAATCAAAATACAGACCCTTCATTGTCAAACACCAAGATCATCTCCTACACTCTATGAGGAAATTTTTTTTATCTGTATATACTATATGCTATTTTCATTCTCTCTCTCTCTCTCTCTCTCTCCCTCCCTCCCTCCCTCCCTCCATCCATCCATCCATCCATCCATAGTTTGGTCTAGTTTTTAAGGCTATAGGCTAGAAACCAGGAGACACTGAGTTCTAGTCCCGCCTTAGCCATGACAGTAGGCAGGATGATTTAGGACCAGTCACACTCTCTCAGCCCAACTCACTTTACAGGGTGGTTGTTATGGGGGAAATAGGAAAAAGAAGGAATATTGTGTGTGTTTGCTGCCTTGAGTTACTTGTAAAAAATAATACAGATAAATAACTAAATAATAACATTAATGAAAGAAAACAAATAAGTTCTTGGTCACTGGACTGATAAGGTTGACAAGGCAAAGAGAGGGTCTTTCTAACGGGGAGCCAGAGACAAAAAGAACTTTATTCCTGTTCCTTGAAAGAAGACCTTGGAGGAAACTTTCTTTGGTATTTGGCTGTGTCTTCATGTGGAAAGAAGTGACATCCTATTGGCTCCAGTCTCTGGAAACTACAAAAAAGAGGGAAAGGAAGAAGATGCAGCAGATCCACCAATGAACAGTCAAATGCTTCTCCCCTCAACTTTGTAGCTGCTATTTCAGTAGGAAAGGTGTTGCAGCATCTGGGAAAATGTGATCCTGGTGTCCTCCAGCTGAATACCTCAGACAGATAAACTGAAAAGCATCAGTATGAAGCAGCTGGTGGGGGATTATCTGTCAAACTCAGAACTCTGGAGAAATCAACTGTGCATTGTCTTCAAGGATGCTTCTCCAGCAAACTTATTGAATTCTGCCTTGTCACCTCACCACTCAAGATAGGAATCTAGTTCTTTAACAGATGAGTACAGAGATTGTGAGGTTCAACTAAGCCTTGGGGTGCTGCAAAAAAGCAACAACAAAATGACAACTAGAGACAACTTTCTGCCATTATTGATCTTCAAGAAAAAAGAAAAACAAGAATGATTCAAACTATCAATCAGCTACTAGAAATAGGTATCAGAGAGTCTACCTGTGAGAGACCTACCCTCTTTTCATCCTTTTTTACCATCTCAAAACTGAAGAAAATTCTGAACCACAAAGTGGTCAGCCAGCTCATCAGAGAATGTTCAAGATTTAAGAGCCCTGCAGACAAAGGCAGGTGCAATCCCAGAGGACATTTCTGATGACAGAAGATCTGCTGGAAGTCTAACTCTGGGTTTGAATCAGGTGGGTCTAGTGTCCCTCCACCAGATGTTTGGCAAGGTGAGGTTAGTGCTAACTGACTTCATGTTGAAAATTAAATACATGCATGTATCGGCATAGATGGTCAGTTACTAATTAGAGCAACATCCAAGTGTAGGACTTTATTGATTATACAGTCCATTTTATCTTCTATATAGGACCATGGATTTGAAGGGAACACAGTCAATGACTTCCCTCCATTCAAATGGAAGCTTTTCCTGTCACCAGAACATGGAACAGAACTACAATGGGCAGCTATAGGAATTCTCATCTCACTATGTCCACTTATCATGAAACTGGCTGACCTCCAGGGGATTATAGTTTACACAGACTCGATTGCATAGTTGAGTCAGTGTGTCCTTACCCTTTCCAAAGGCTTCTGCTGTTGCCACCAGAAAGGATACCATTCCCATAACAGAAGGCTAATTATCTATGTTGGTATTTGATAACAGCCCTTCTCTTTTAGAGAGTCCTGCTTAAGTAAATAATGCCAGATTTTCTGGTTAGGGAGATACTCACTTAGGTAATCCATCAGTCCAGGGACTATGGGTAAAGTATTAAATGTCACTCCTCATCATTTGGTGAAAATCGGAGCAATCTGCGTGGCTCTAGTTAGCTTGGAACTCACAATTAGAGTGTTATGTTTTGGTGTACCTGGATAACAAGAGCACAACAAAATTACCAGGCAGGTTCCAGATCCCAGGAATTAAGGAAAGTGGTCCACCTAATGTCACAAACACAGAGAAATTTTCATTTAGTATTGTCAGCTTGCAAAAAAAAAAAAAAAAAAGTGATCCACAACTGTCACAGTGGATTAGCCAAATCACAAGCTGACCTCTTTAGAAATGCACGTAGTGGAGAAATAAAATGCTGCTTCTCTCAGTTTCATGGCAACACTGCTGAAGAGGTAAATTAACTCTCATCGCCATTGCCTCTGAACCTATTCTAAGTTTCCCCTCTAGTTTCAGCATTCACCAGAATGGTGTGCAAAGAGCAGTGGTGGGTTGCCCTGGTTTGGGCAAACCGGTAGCAGCGGCGGCGGGAGATTCTGCCCACCTGCCCGGATGTCATCAAATATGCTCTGCACATGCGCAGAAGTGGCGCACGCACGAGCGAACCAGTAGGAAAGGTAAGTGAAACCTACCCCTGTGCAAGAGTCTATGGGAAGTCCAACTAACAAATTCATTCAATGATCCCATTGTTGGAAAAATTGAATATTCAAAGGCAGGGTTTTTTTTTAAAAAAAAGCCTGCTACGTTTCATCTTGATCTAGCCTTTCCCAGAGAGGACAGTGAGTAACATATATATGTGGTCTTGTTCTCACTGTTCTTACCTTCACTGAAAAAAAAGTGCTATAGTTTGCCAATCATTTTATTGCATGTTAAGGTGCCCTCCATTGTTCTGCTTCTGATCTTTGTAAAACACAGGGAGGGTTGCTCTTCAATAAATAAAAAGGAACGAAAACATAGATATTAATACTGAAGAATATTTCCCTATAGTATGACATAGGGTGTGCTTCTAAAAACTATTCAACCAATCCATAGTGGAAAGGAAGACAGCCTGTTGCCCTGCAAATGCGAGACACAAATCCCCATGGCTGGGGACAACTGGCTGGAGCTGGTGAGACTTTCTGCCAAACATCTGGAATTTGTCTTGTTTGCCCTGCCCTTACATTGCCAGCTGAAAATCTTCTCAAGAAGTGAGCCCAGCAAAGACTCTGCCTGGAACTTCTTGCTGGCCAGTTGATGGGGACCCTAACTAGGGTTTTCTTTGTGGCTAATGCATCAGATATTGGTTGTCTGTCCTAGAATGGTGTAATTGGCCTGTGTGTTGTTCAGTTTTGGTGGCAAAACATCATTTTTTTTCTGATAAGAAATTAGGGATGCCATGCCAGCAGATACTTCTAACATGTTTTTTTTTATTATTACTTTCCTTTATATCAGTGGTCCCCCCCCCCCACACCTTTTGGGCACCAGGGATCAGTTTCATGGAGAGAGGTTTTTCTGTGGACTGGAGGGGACATGGATTTGTGGGCTGCCTGCATCCCATGGATGGGGCTTCCACTTGTTTGCGGGGCCTGATTTCTGGCATGCTACGGACCAGTGCTGGTCCATGGACTGGAGATTGGGTACCCCTTGCTCTATATGATTAGTTTGTAGTTGTTTTATCATAGTTTGTACCATATTAGTCTTTGGTGGGTGGGGGGGGGGGGAAGGAAAGGTGGCACATATATAATAAAGTATTAGTACTTGATTGTGAGCCAGCAGACTTGGCTAGATTCACATATCACATAAAGCTTTAGATCTCTTCTGACTGTATGGTTAATCCAGCTGGCCATTGGCCTAGTTGGTTCTCCTTACCGGTGAATTTGGCAGCACACAGTCATACTGAAGTCTCTCCTCACTGTTGCCAGACAATGACTTGTATTCTGTATTCTCTCTCAGTGAGACGGTCTTAGCAAGGTTTTATATCATTACTAGTAAGACTACCTTGTTTGGGCTGCAGAAGATGACCACTAGATGGTAGCCAAGAGATAAGCAAACTCAACTTAATACCCTTTGCTGCCCTCTAGTTACTAATATGCATTTCTTCAGTCCAGAATCACAAACCCTTCTTTTATCAGGCAGGAAGCAATAGGCATGGCTTGGACACTGTGGTTAACTAGTGTTAACCAATGAGTAAACTTACATTTTCAACCTCTGCTTCTCTTGGAAGATTAAATACATAACATAGGCAATTTGTGGTGTTCTCACAACATAACTGAGTAGGTGAAGTTAGCTTAATTGGTGATTGCATGATGCTGTTCTGAGTTGAAATCCAACCCCATGGATGGTGGTAGATGATTGAGGCACTTGACTCTTTTTGGTGTTTCCACAATGTTTTAAGCCTGTTATAGAAACAAGGCCAATAATGTGTTGCTTGACTTTAGATCGGGGTGGGTTTCACTTACCTTTGCTACTGGTTTGCTCATTTTGCTTGCGCGCATACCACTTCTGCGCATGCGCAGAGCATATTTGATGACATCCGGGAGGATGGGCGGAGCCTCCTGCCGCTGCCACCGCTACCGGTTCACCCGAACTGGGGTGAACCGGTAGCAACCCACCACTGCTTTAGATGTAGCATTATGTGTGAACTAGATTGCTAAATTTTGTTCAACAAATTATGTATGTTAGATTAGCTTGATGTGTGAATTTATAAGACTGGTTCATGTGTACTGTTGAGCAGAGTTCAGTGAAATCAGGCATGGCAATCTCCTCTTAATTGTGTAGTTACAGAATGTTTTTCATGGGCCATAATTATAGTTCAATTATATTGAGCCAATGTAATAATTATAAAAGGACCATTGCACTGTAAAGAGGAGATGATGCAAAGCACTTGTTGTGAGATGCTACAAAGCTTATTTTGTGGAGAAAATCTCCAAATGTGTACATATATTCCGGCTTCCCACAATTTGAATGCAGGCAATAGTACTGATGTCTGAATCACAATCTTACAAAGGAAACTATTTGAGTGCACTTTTGGTTGTAATGGATAATTGTAATCTTTAGTAATTTTTGTAATGGATTGTGTGCAATTTTCCATTTTTCTTATTACCTCATGAATGATGCAGTTATGGTTGAAAAGCTAAGGTGGTTTTTTTTTTAAAAAAATAACATTACTCTGTATATCTAGAGGCTTTGTGGTTGCAGAGAGAAGGTTGAAAGCATGATGGCAGTGTATGCTAAATGCTCAGCAAAACCTGAGACAT